TGCTCGGAACTAAATAAAAATAACAATTTTGTCTTTCCTTTGATGTGTCCCCCGTCGGACGGATTCCTTTTGTTTGTTTTAAGTTTATTTTATACAAAAGCTTAGGTGTTTTATTTATCGATTGAGGCACTACGAAGTCTGCCGGGCCAGCTAGTAGTTAAATAATATCCCCGATAGTTATGGGAATACTTTTTTTCAAAATAATGTTATTACTAGCATAATAATAGTAATTAATAATTTTAATAATGTTTTCTGTGTTAACGAGTCAGGTTTTGGTGCAAACTGTAAAACTGACTTTGCATTGAATGGAATAAGTAAATTAATAAATAAATTATAAATTGCTTATTTTTGTTTATGTGTGAAGAAGCAATTTTTTTAATTTTTATTAATAATTATTATATTATATTATGTATATTTATATTATTATTTATTTATACATTGTGTATTAATTGTATATGTATATTTATTTAACGGATTGGTACACCGCGCATTCTTTGTTTCCAAATGATTCTTGTCCACCTGATGATTGTCTGTCTTAGCGATAAGACCGCCAATTGTACTTTTTTTTATTTAATGTATCGCACTGTTTATTTGTTTTTTGTTGTACAATAAAAAATACTCTCTCTCTCTCTCTCTCTTTCTCTCTCTCTCTCTCTCTCTTTCTCTCTCTCTCTCTCTAAACGGACAGAGGTCTAATGGGTTTTGGTTGCACACAGACCTCACGAATGCCGCGTCAACCTTGAACGTAATGAGATTAATCGCCGCCATAATATGCTTAGTATCTATATATAGTGATATATGTGGCGACGCGCCCACCCGTGCGCTCTTCCCAAAAAACCAGCCTCGGTCATCGAACCGTTAAAACACGAACCAATTTTAGTATAAAATGCATTCGGCCGGTCTTTTTGGCTATATTTTATTTACGCTGCGAAGCCACCGAGCTTGATTTTTTTTTATTGCCTAGCTATGTGGACGAGCTCACAGCCTACCTGGTGTTAAGTGGTTACTGGAACCCATAGACATCTACAACGTAAATATCGCTACCCACCTTGAGACACGAGTTCTAAGATCTCACTTTTTACAGTACAACGGCTGCCCCACCCTTCAAACCGAAACGCATTACTGCTTCACGGCAGAAACAGGCGGGGTGGTGGTACCTACCCGTGCGGACTCACAAGACGTCCTACCACGAATAGTAATTAATAAAAAAAATACTAGATCTGTCTGTTAATTCCTACCCAAACCATTGACCCGTCTTAAGATATAGCAAATTAACTCACAGACAGAATCCACTGAGTTTCTCGACGGACTTTCTCAGTCAGTCGCGATTTCAATCCGGAGGTAGATTCAGCGCTACTCTGGGTAGGGCACGTTAGCTAATTCCCCGTGAGCCCATTCACTACTCTAGGTGAAGCTTTAATAGCCCATCGCGGCCACTGGCAAAGAGGCAAGCTGAAAATAGCCCATTATGAAGAAATTTAGTATGGACTGACCCCTTCCTATTGTCGAGCCCGGTTTTCAGTCTGGGCGATACAGTCCACGCAGCAGAAACTGCGAATGGAAAGTTTTTTTTTTGCCTACCTAAGCTGAAAGCCTTGAGAGGCTATTTCAGCGTAACCTTAACTAGTAGGTGAGCTCGCGGGGTTCAAACCTGACGACGTTGCTATCACGAACCCAAGCGAGAGCCGTGCTTCGCAGAATCTACCACCGGATCGGAAACGCGACCCACTGAGAAGATCCGGCGAGAAACTTAGTGGGCTGTGTCTGAGGGCTAATTTACTCGTCGAGCCCTTCGTCGGAAGCGACGGGTTCGACGAGAACGATGACCGGTGCTTGAGGTACCTAAAAGCACCGTTAGTGGATCGGGAGGATCCAAAATGACGTGGTTAGGGCGACGTCGACTGCTTTCCATTCTGTCCGCAGGATCGGGAATGTAGTTACCGGCCACAATGAGAGGGTTCTCGTGTCGTGCCGCTTTATCGAAGTGGAAAGTTTGTATTAAAACAATATTCCTCATCGTCCACCTAAAAGAACACTGAATAATGACAATAAGGAAAATACTATGAGCTACATGACCTACTACAAAGTCGAGTTGATCAAATGTCCCGACTTACGTGATTGACTTTTAACACTGATTTTCTCGCCGGATCTTCTCAGTGGGTCGCGATTCGGATCCGGTAGTAGAATCAGCGAAGTATTGACGGCCGTCTGGTGTAGTGGTAAGTGACATGGTCACTACTCAAGGGGGTCGCGGGTTCGAATCCCGCCAAGGGAAGATATTTGTATGATAAATATAAATGTATTTTTCAGGGTTATGGATGTCTATTAAATATATGTATGTGTATAATAAAAATATTACATTTATTTCCGTTATCCGGTACCTGTAACACAAGTTCTTTACGAACTTACCACGGGACCTGTTAACGTGGCGTGATTGTTAGTAAATATTTATTTATTTATTTAGTAAATATTTAGTAAATTTATTTATTTAGGACTCTTGCTAGGGCTAGTGTTAGCAATTCTCTCAGGTTGAGCCCGTGAGCTCACCTGTCAGTGCGTCTCAAGTTGAAATAATCCCTTAAGCTTGCAACGGTTATGTAGGAAAAAAAAGAGCCACAATTTTCAATTCGACAATTTCACTTCTAACTCACACATTTAATATATTTAACTGCTCATCCTTAAATTGACTCACACAAGGAAAAATAGAAATACCATACTCTTTATCACTGGAGAGCAAAAAAAAACTTTTTTTGATCAAAGAACCTTGTATTAACAGATGCAATCGAACACTCAAAATAATGATCCATAAACCATTACAGTCTTTATATCTTATTAAATAAATACAATTTTGTCATATTTTTTTAAGAAGACCTTAAGACCTTTTATAACCGCGCTCATCTTTTGTATGTCTCAACAAACATTAGTACTATAACGATGAGATAACATAGAAAACTATTGTTTGTGCATTAAAAAATAAATTAGAAATTGTAATTCGATACAATAGGATTTACGTCACTTTGGAATTCATTAAAACTGTACACACGAATGTCAGTGTATGGAATTCTCTCGGTTAATTAATTGAAATAAAGCACAGATTCGCTTGCAGCTTCCAATTGAGCTGTTACCTTTTGTTAGTACGGCTCAACAGTTAACAACCTTCGAAGGCTCTCACTTTAAAATGCTGCTTGCAATGTGCTTAGGGCGTGTTCACATTTGTCATTTATGTTCATAGTTTTTATTTTTTTTATTTTAAACAATTTTAGATTTTATGTTTTTTTTTTTTATTGCTCTAAAGCTTACAGTGCGTTTCCAGAGGTCTTTTTTGCCACGTACCATCCGGTGTTTCCCAAGCGCTATGACATGTCCTTCTTCAAACGAGGCTTGTGGAGAGTCTTAAGCGGTAGGCAGCGGCTTGGCTCTGCCCCTGGCATTGCTGAAGTCCATGGGCGACGGTAACCACTCACCATCAGGTGGGCCGTATGCTCGTCTGCCTACAAGGACAAACCATTTTATTGACGCGTTTTAGTTAGCTTAGTATGTATGAATGTTTGGTTGCATTTTTGTATTGATCCTGTAGGCAGACAGACGAGCATACTGCCCACCTGATAGTGAGTGGTTAACATCGCCCATGGCCGTCAGCTATGACAGGGACAGAACCAACCTACCGTCAAAGGAAATGCCTTGCATGTAAGGGAATATATTTTGTCATTATCTACCGAATTTGAGACATCGGATTGGTTTGAAATTTTGCACACGCATTAAAGACGTGCTGAGGTATCTTAACTGTTTTTCTTAGTTACTTTCTAATAAGTCTACTTTCTTAGTTTTTTTTATCAGTTAAGTAATATAAAAACCACATAAGATTTTAATGAAGCATAAGATTCTACAATATTATTTGTAGCTAAGTCATAGGCCTTTTTGTATACGTTCCAAAAACAAAGCCGCTTTTGTCTGGTACTAGTACTAAACTATTTCTGTAGCGAACCTTTCGTGGGATTGGCTCTGCAGGTTAGAGCTAAGGGCCGAACTAATCCTTGCCATGATGAAGTTAAGAACTCCATCCCGTCACCTAAAGCAGGTCGCCTATATTCGCAAGGGGGTCGTGAATTCATCTGTCTTAAGTAGATGATTACGATGAACTTTAAGTGGGCGGTTTTTAAAATCGGTGACATTTTTTTTTTATTTCCTAAAAGTACCTTCGCGTACGTACGTACCCTTTATCACTTCCTAATGAGATTTCCTGAATATTATAATAAAACTTACATCATTTCGGATCCTCCCGATCCATTAACGGTGCTTTTAGGTACCTCAAGCACCGGTCATCGTTCTCGTCGAACCCTTCGCTTGCGATGAAGGGCTCGGCGATCAAATTAACCCACATACACAGCCCGCTGAGTTTCTCGCCGGATCTTCTCAGTGGGTCGCATTTCCAATCCGGTGGTAAATTCTGCGAAGCACTGCCCTTGCTAGAGTTAGGTCAGTTTGGACCCTGTAAACTCTCCTACTGGTTAGGTGAATCTAGAATAACCCGCGAGGTTACTAGAATAGGTAAGAAAAAAAAAATCTGTGGTGTCGTGGAACACCGGATAGGAACGAAGTTCCTTATTATAAAAATATCAATTTTAAGTTCTATTCGAGGTATAAAGTCAATAATTATTCAGGTATACATTTTTTATTATGATTTTTTTATTGATAAAAAAAACTACTTCACAAAGTTATCAACTTTGTTTTATTCACAGTGATTTATAAAAGATATATAATAATAATATACAAAGAAACAGCTATTTATATGAATAATAATAATAACCCTCATCATGTAGACTATACATTAGACACTGCATAGCCATCATACTTAGACTATACATAAATAATAAAAATCTTACGTTACGGACGTTTTTTCTCGGTTAGGGTACCCCTCCGCATCGTCCCATAAGGAACTTCGTTCCAAAAACCATTAAATTTTAAAACAATCTCAAACAGCATGACCGATTGCTGTCATGCGTGCACGCACCTTTACCGATCATCGTATTTCCAGTCAGTCCAACAGCACCGTCAACGCGGACGGCCGCGATTTCACGAACGCCGCCAACAAATGTGTTTTTAGTGTCGCCATTTTGTTTTATCTGTCAAATATTTGAGGTTATATATTCCGTGTTAGGTACGTACGAAGGTTTTTTTTTTCATTTATTCTCTTGCATTTTATTTGCGTAGTATATAATAATGACGTCATTTTTCGTCATCATCTTAAGGAGTACACGAACTTTTCAAAACTAGAACTGTCGTGTTAGTCCAAGGAATTATTTTAGGAACTGCCTCATATTCTCTGTGCAGTTTTTACTAGCAAACTTTTAAAGTAAAAGCTACTTTTGTTTTGTCGCTCGACATATTATCGAATACAACAATTCACGAATACCTATCACAGTTACTCGTATCTAAACAATCATTAGAGGGAAAGAGATAAAGTTAGCAGTCCACAACATTAAAAGGCATAATGGAGAAAAAAACCAGTTCATATTGCCAATTCGAATAAACAATTTGAAATCAGTTAACGTTGTATCCATTTTAAGTTGCAACCATATACATAACATGAACGAAAGAGGTAAGAGAACTATGAAATTAAATGGAAAATTATAGTATTAACTCTATTTAAAAATCCATACTTAGCTAAAACAAAAAAATTGATCCCTAAAAATTAGATGTAGTTTTTTATTCTCACTCTTTGTATTACCCTACTGCATCGTTATGACCTCATCGTATCCAAAGCAGAGAGGTCATTAGAGACAGAAATAAGAACTACTTACAAGTAAGTGTAAGACTGGTTGCAGTTAAATCAAACATATATACTATGTGTGTATATAGTTTCACTGAATTATTTATATCCATGTCGATCGTGGTCCTCCGTGACGCCGAAAACCTTATTTTTTTATTGCCTTTGAAGGTAGACGAGCATACGGCCCACCTGATGGTAAGTGGTCACCGTCGCTCATGGACGTCAGCAATGCCAGGGGCAGAGCCAAGCCGCTGCCTACCATAAAGTACTCTCCGCAAACTTCGTTTGAAGAAGGACATGTCATAGCGCTCGGAAAACACCGTGGAGGGGAGTTCATTCCAAAGCCGGATGGTACGTGGCAAAAAAAGATCTTTGGAAACGCACTGTCGATGAACGCAGCGGTTCCAGATAATATGGATGAACCCTACTCCGATGGCGGGAGGTGCGATGATAAAAAGGAGGAAAGCATTAAAGCATTCGCAGATAATGTAATGAAATATAAAAGAAATATATTACATTTTATTGCGGATACGACTCGCAAAACACGAGGACAATACTCTGATCACATATCCCTTGAGACATTGATTGGGTATGATAATAACTCTGTAATAGATTCGAAAAAAAAAATAGCTCTGAGAAGAATTGACAAAACAAATATGGCGGTCTTAAATCGTGGATCAATTAAAAATTACGGTCCAGAAAAAAATGAACTTTGCTTCTGACTATTATTACAAATAGAAGAAAAACTATGTTGCGTTCTTAAAATGAATATAGAACGGGTGTGTGATGTCATACTAGAATGAATGCATTGGCCTTTAAAATCTATTCTATCTAATAATTGGTTGCTTTGTTTTTTATGAACGAAAGATTACTGGTAGTCTGGAGGCCTTTCCAGTTTCACCAGGACAGGTGGACGAGCGAGGGCTCAGCCAGAAGGGGTGAGATTTACTAACAGCTACCCGTGCGCCTCCAAAGGAGACCTAACAACTCAAGAGTAGCTGCTTCGCGAATGAATCTGCTAGCGAATCGGAATCGCGACCCGCTGAGAAGATACGATAAGAAACTCAGCGGCCTGATGACTAAGTTAGGTTGTACGTTGAACTCTGCTGAGTTCGACGAGTACATTTACCGGGGATCCTAAGTCTGCTACTAGTGCTAGAGCTAAAGGCGTCTAATGCAAGAGTAATTGAATCTGATGGATCCGTTAGGACGTGTCCAGGGCGTCGACGGTGACTGGCTCCTGCGTGATCAGGATCATAGAGATACTGCAAACTATCCAACTTAACGTTTCAAGTCGTAGTGGCCTAAAGGATAAGACGCTCGCTAATGTCATATTGAGCTATTATCCCAGAGTTCGAATCCCCCATGCCTCTGCCGTTTTTTTAGCTTGACAATGAAATAATGAGATCGCGTTACAAAAATCAAAACGTAAAATGTATAAATCTGCGTCTTTACCGTGAGATACAGCCTATGCCTCTTTGCAAACGAATAAAATATCACATTTTTAATCTGTTGGGTTTTTGATAATCATAATTTGATGTAACGCAATTTGTAAGCCAAAATTAGCTGATGAAGTAAAAGAAACATCAAAAGAACAAATTTATGGATTTTAAAAAACGAGGGTTTTGGCTGGATACTGCACTACCTACCTCGCTCTTCAGAATGACAGAAAAGAAAGTTTTAAGCGCCATGCCCGTGTATCTAACCTTCGATAAAAGTTGAATCGTAAGACGAAAAACAGCTTAAGAACCATCAAAATTACAAGACAAATTGGATCTTGGAGAAAGACGTATCAAAATAAATGTACTAAGGATTGAAATTAAAATGTACTAAGAGAAAAAGAGCAAATGTTATAAAAGAAAAAAATGCATTTGGAAAATGAACCTTATAAACGAACGTCAAATTAGTAATTAGAAGAAAAAAAAACACTACAGACACTCGATAAACAAGCAAAATAACAAGAACAATGTCATATTTCTCCAATAAACTTGTCCAATGAAGAAGATTGTTACGTGATAGCAGATTGTTACATGATAGCACAAGGCCGGCATGTAAATTAGATTTTTTAAATGACACAACTGAACCAACACACACAAAATTGCTCAATAAGTCAATACAACAACGCATACGTGTAATGTAAACCTAGGAGAAAGAAGTCTTAGAGACACAACACTACAACAAATAAAAGATGAAGCCGGATCGAAGATTGAAAACCGCAAATCAAAAAAACTTCAGAGGTGTCAAGGGACACCCGGATGGAACGAAGTTCCTTTCGATTAATTAGTGAAGGAATTGTAATTTTTTTTTTAAGTTATAATAATAAATTACGGCATTATGAAGAAGAAAAGAACAATACTATGAACTAAATTACTATTGTTGAAACGCTATCTCGAGAAACTGTACTCATTACGCGGACCAATCGGATACGAGCAATGTCACGCGATAAGCGCCTACACGTTGATTGGTCAGAATGACGGATCTAAAAAGTGTCGTGACAACTTTTCGTAAGAATTTTTTCCGTCTAGCCCCCTTTCACAACGCGCGATAAGGAACTTCGTTCCAATATTGAATGATGTAATAGAAACTTAGAACGCGATTATTAAAATATAGGATTCCGAGAAAAGTAGCCTGATATATTTGTGCTTACTATTCAACAAAGTTCGCCTGGATCGAAAGATACTTTTATTAGTCCCCCATAGACACAGCCCACTGAGTTTCTCGCCGGATCTTCTAAGTGGGTCGCGTTTCCGATCCGATGGTAGCGAAGCACTGCTCTTGCTAGGGTCAGTGTTAGCAACACCCCGGTTTGAGCCCCGTGAGCTCACCTACATATTAGGGCAAAGCTGAAATAGTCTCTCAAGACTATCAGCATAGGTAGGAAAAAAAATATTAGTCCTTCTCTTAGCTAGTTCATGACACTTCCAAGCTAATCGTATGGTATGGTCTTCTGATGGAACCTGACTTTCTTTGCCTAAGACCATCTCCCTTTCATTCCCTCCCATTATCTTTTCCAACTGGCCGACCCTTTAAAAATCCTTTATCACGTCCACAATTTTCAACTTTGACAAAAGCTCTTCTATATCTAAGTGGTATGAGATTAGTATTTCGCTCGTTGCGAAATGATTTTATTGTCTTCTTACGGAAGCTGCTTCTCTTTGCCTAAGACGATCTCCCTTTTTTCCATCTAATCGTCTTTCTTAACTGGCGGACTCTTCAAAAATCCTTTATCGCGCCCACAATTCTCGTCTTTGAGAGAGCCTCTTATAAAATCTAAGTAGCATGACATTACTGTTTCGCCTGTTGCTATAATTTGTTAGGCAACTGTTTATATTGAGCTCATGAAGTCAGCTGACAAAAAATGAACCGTTCAAATGTCACTACATCTATAGTCTATTATGGATGTACATCTGTGACTAAAGCAAAGTTCATTCACCTGGAACCAATTAGGACATACACAATGCTGCCGTATAATGAACTTGCATCTTTAATTTTTCAATTAACTCCGCGATAAACGGTGCACGAAAAAAAGAGACATCCGAAAAAACACAAATAGGATACATATAAAAAAGAGAAGCAATTGCGAAGATATTCTGATATTAGTTTTTTTACAAAAGATACTTTGACACGTATGTGATTAGAACGAAATAAATGAAATAGAAATGACACTAAAAAGATCATACAATTATCTAAGCAAGAAAAAGAAATCCATAGACAGTCTCCATAGACTAACCCTAACTAGCACGAAATTGATATTTTGTAAAGCTCGTAAACTCCTCGTAAAGTTCTCTCCCAAAACCAGACTGGTTTTTACTTAATTAATTTAACGAACATTTTATTTAATTCTATAAGTTTTGTTTTAATTTCGTTTGAATTATTAAAACGGTTTGGATAGCTGTAAACTGTTTGTAATTTTGGAACGTTCTTAATTATATTAGCGTTATGGACCCTGCCCTACCGCTGTTATATAGATATTTGAGAGCGCTGAATCATCGTTAGGCGAATCGACATATTGTCTCTCTGACCGAAATAGGAATTAAAATTTGTTGAACTCTCAAAAGAGGAATAGACGCGACATTATATTGAGCAGCATTTGGAAAAAGCGTATTAATATTATCTCGAATGATCTAGTTCTGAAACAGAAGGGTATGGTGTTACTGTACTGCATCGACATGTCGCCTATCAACAAGGGATCCATAAGGTTGACCATAAAAACATTAATCCATAAAAATTGCCACATTCTTAAAACAATCATTCGTTTCACTAGAACCCTTTATTTGTGTGAGCATCTGGTCGTAGGACTGGTATTATAGGTATAGGTATAGATATAGGTTATAGGACTGGTAGGTTCATTATTACTGGTGGTAGGACCTCTTGTCCATCCTGCCTAT